TTCTCAATTTTTTCAACTCATCCCTCAGTTCTTTACTCTATTTCCATTGTTCTTTTTAAGGAGCCCCACCAAAATCTCACTGTCAACGTTGGTTCTATCACAAACCTACTAGAATAGCATCAACATAAAAAAAAAAAAAAAAAAAAAGGCTCAGAGGTTAAATCAATGTCAATGGGCCAGAACTAGTGACACGAAGAATAAAGAACTCCACATTTAGGGGGTTCTTTATAGAGAAATAGAGCAATAAATCCAAAGTTACTTATCAATGGCAGTAGGGTATGGTCATGGATCATACTCTACTTTTCAATTCTAAAAGTAATGTTTTTGTCATGTTTGCCTTGTATGTGTTTATTTAATGAAGTAATGACATTTTCCTGAGTTTTAAAATTTTTTGTTGTGTTTATTTTTTATTTTCTATGCAAAGAGCTTTTACTAAATTAGGAGGCACTGATAATCAACAGTGCCCTGGATTTTAGAAAATAGCATCTAAAATTACCACCTGTAGGTGGCAATGAATGTCATAGATACAAGGTTAAAAAAATTATATTATATTTAATCTCATAACACCCTGAAAGGTGTTACTATCCCCTATTTCATAGATTAAGAAATTCAGATATATGGAGATTAAATTACTTGTCCAACACCATGTTACTAGTTAAGTTGCAAAGCCAAGTCAGCCTCTAAAAATATATATATATTTTTCCATTACTCATCAAATATTGACTGATGTTAAGGTTTGCCTATTAGAAATCAATTTCTAGGCATTGTCTAGAACAAGTGTTTACTATTCCCTGTGCTTAGCTCCTAAGCATTCTATCACTGGCCTTCTTGTCTGAAAATGAATAACCTTCATTATTATGGCAAGTTTGGCAAGCAGGGAATCCCTGGTACCAAGTACCAACCAGCTCAGAGCTCACAATGCCTCATTGCTTTTTTTTTTTTTTTTTTTTTATTGTGGCAACAATCAAGTAACTAGGTTTAGCTACATTTTATTTATTTTTTCTTGGTTACTAGTATTTAACATTGGCAAACAAACTAACATATTTAAAGCCATCTACCTGGCATAAGTTGAATGAGAAATGAGAGTCTTGAATCTCTAGTAATAAATAGCATGAAATTCTGGAGCCCAAACAAGGGAAGATTTTGCTAGCATTTGGCTGGAGCTGAACATGGAAAAGAAGGAATATACACACATACGAGACACCTGCAGTCAGATGGTTCCCAGATGGACAGGTTCCACCACAATGAAAGGTTACAACTTACCATGGCACTCCAGTGTGCAAATTGTATAATATCCCCAAATGAGGCCTAGAACTAGAAAAATTATACCTCAGAAGTTAAAATTTTAGAGTTGGGGAAATGATATTTTTTAGAAAGATTTATTTATTTGAAAGTGTTACAGAGAGAGGAAGATACATAGAGAGAAAAAGAGAGAGAGAGGGAGAGAGAGAGAGAGATCTTCCATTCTGTGGTTCACTCCCCAAATGGTCACAATGGCCAGGGCTGGGCCAGGCTGAAGTCAGGAGCCAGGAGCTTCTTCTGAGTCTCCAACATTGATGCAGGGACCCAGGTACTTGGGTCATCTGCTGCTGCTATCCCAGGCACATTAGCAGGGAACCAGGAAGTGGAGCAACCAAGACAGGAACTGGCATCCACGTGGAATGTGGGCATCGCAGGTGATGGTTTTACCTACCACATCACAATGCCAGCCCTAATGGAAAAATTTTTTTTAAAGATTAATGTTCTCTTCTCTTGGAAATACTTATATTATACCTACAAGAATCCTATCTGTGTGCCTATGTTCTGAATGGATCTAGCCTCAATCCACTGAAATAAAATCACATTTCCCTACTACTTTGGTTGTTCCACTTACTTCAGGTGAATTTGATGATGCTGGTGGTGGTGGTGGTGGTGGAGGGGTAAGAGGAAGACAAGAAGGGTGAAGAGGAAGGGAAGAAGGAAGAGGAAAAGGAGAGTTGTTGAGTGCTCTCCATGTCCATCACTTTGCTAAGGTTTTTACCCAAACTCTTGGAGGCCAAACGTTTCCCTAGCAATCCAGCAGTAAATAACACTGCAGCCAAATATTGTAACTTGTTAGGAAAAAAATGCAAGTGAAGTCTCCTGAGATGAGATGTGGGTTGGTTATTGACTTTAGTTCAGTTTGTGGCACTGGTACCTGTGTACTCGGCTTCAAGTGTCCAATGACACAATGAAAGATGGCCTTCAAACACAACTCCACGGTCCCAAGGAAAGGCATTAGTTTGGTTTGGCAAAAATGCCCATGTTTATTATCTATCATACAGTAAACAATGGTTGGGAATGTAAAGATCCCTTTCTCAAAGGGTTCACAGCCCTGTGCAGGAGACAGCTTATAAACCAGTATTATAAATCAGTGAGCCCATTAAGTCCAGTGAGAAAGACAGATGGCCAGCATATTACGGTAGCACAGGCCAAATGCTGCCTGCAACTGAATAAAATCCAGGAAGACTTCCTGAGAGAGGAGATAACCAAGGGTATTAAGTTTTATAATACAGGCTAAATTCAATGGCATCAGACAGCCAGCTGGTTGGTAACATCTGCACATGATTCCAGAATAGGGTATGGGATAGATGTGAGCAGCCTGTTATCCAGAAATGCATCAACACATGACAAAGGGATAAGAACACAACTAAGACAACAATATTTAGAACAAGAGCAGATGGCACAGGAGAATAATTGGGGTCAGGAGGGTTGCACTGAGTTCTGAATCGCTGTGGTTTTTTATAAAGGCGAAAATAAGTGAAAGCATTATTATTATTTTTTTTTTTTTTACAGGCAGAGTGGACAGTAAGAGAGAGAGAGACAGAGAGAAAGGTCTTCCTTTGCCGCTGGTTCACCCTCCAATGGCCGCCGCGGCCGGCACACTGCACTGATCCGAAGGCAGGAGCCAGGTGCTTCTCCTGGTCTCCCATGGGGTGCAGGGCTCAAGCACTTGGGCCATCCTCCACTGCACTCCCGGGCCACAGCAGAGAGCTGGCCTGAAGAGGGACAACCGGGACAGAATCCAGCACCCCGACCGGGGCTAGAACCCGGTGTGCCGGCGCTGCTAGGCGGAGGATTAGCCTAGTGAGCCGCGGCGCCAGCTGAAGTGAAAGCATTATGAAAAGCACAGGGGCTACACAACACTGCGGTATTGCTTATATTGATTACATTATCCAATTTCACCACTGACAATGATTAAAAGATAAATTTCTTATATCACTTTGACACTAATTTTGAATATATAGACACAGACACACTTGAAGATATAGTAGAAACTTCTCTTTTCTAAGAGAAACCATACCATGTTATCATCTAACTGAAAACATTCTGTTCTTATTTAGAACCCCATGTGTTAACAGCACTCTTTTATGGGATGGGAATGTCTCAGTTTGAAATTACTTCTGAAGCAGGGATTTGGAGCTAGACTTTTTATTGGAACCAATTAAAAGTAAAGTAGGAGAACAAAAAATATGTTTTTAGAATTATTTCTGTGTTCCCAATTAAATTTACACAGCTTGAAGCCCATAATTAGAAATCTCCACTGAATGGCTTTGTCATTCTCTTTTATTTCAGATATTTCCCCCACAGCACATGTTTCTTCCTCTAAAAGGAAAACAAATCTCAAGAAGCAATGACCTTTCTTCCTCCCCTCTCACACCTTAACTAATTCTACTTTACCTCTGCAATCATAGTCCATAGCTACAAAAAAGAAAATATAAGGGGTTCAAAATTCCCTATAGGATCTTAGGTCCCATTTCATCATCTCTTCATATGAGAGAACTAATATCATTCTGCCCTCTTCATCAGAACAAAAATTCATAACTTGAAAGAGATTTTAAGAACATAAATCACAATGAGAAGAAAAGAGGAAGTCCTAAAATTGTGAAATGTTCTAGCTACATTTGTAATGTAGTTATTTGGAATTTAGAATCGACTTCCCCATTAGAACAATGTCATAAATAGAAAAATAGAGGATTTGCATATGGGAAACAAATGCTGAGAGGAACTTGGGCATTCTCATGAATTTTAGAGGCTGGCTCATGAGCATGCCAAATTAGCCTTCAGGAATTGTGCAACTCCTAGCGAGCAACATCTTGTGGGTATTTTTGACTCCAGTAGATCTACAGAGACAGAGAAGGAGAAAGGAATGTAGAGGGAAAAGAAGATAGCTTTTTTTTTTTTTTTCACAAAGTAATCATTAAAGAGTTAGGGGAGACCAAGGAATAGAAATAGGGATTTTGTTGGAAGGTTATAAAAGATGAGGAGGAAATAAGGAATTGTAACTTCCTGAAATGTGAGCAGATTGACACAAATGAGCAGGAGCCAGAGTGAACCCACCTCCCTTGTCCTGCCAGGTGACTGCGTCTGTGCCTCCTCAGTAACAGCACCATGCTCTCTTCTCTCTGCATGGAAGAGATCGTCTCAGCCTGCTCTTCGCCAGTGGCTTGATGGAGCTGCCTAGGGTTTGTGACCTATCACTTATTACTTCTCTCTAGCTTTTAACTCTCTTAATCTTTCCTTTGTTGTAAATAAACATGAAGTGTTTCTCCTCACCAAAACCAAAACCAAACTAACAAAACCTACCACCTGTTTGATCTCACCCATCCTTCATGGTCAAGTAGAATTTGCTGGCTCTACTCCATTCTCTCTTCAGACCACCCAAATCCAGCTCTGTCCAATTTCTCTCCACTCCCTGCTCCCACACTTCACCCAAACTACTCTTGCAAAACACACTGCATCCAATAAGCACTTATTACACTCTGGCTCAAGCCTCATGTTGGATGTTTTTCCCCCTGTGCCTCTGGTCACACCTTCTCCGTATCACATGTAGACTCCTCTCTTCCTATTGCTGGCTTCTAAATAGCCAGGGGTTCTCAAGTCCTTGCCGTTGGCCTTTAATCTCATCTTACAAACTCTCCGTTGCAAACTCTTCCACTGCCCTGGCTTTAATTCCACCTCTAGGTTAATGATGCAAACCAAGCAGAGCTAAGTTGCATGTTTTAGAGGAAAGATGTGGGATTCGGAGCTGGGGTTGCATTGCAGCTGCTACCTACTATGATGGACCCTCGGGCAAGTTTTATTGAACTTTTGGGTAAGTTTTCACATCTTACTCTCATACATAGATAGTGGGAACATAAAATGATTGTCACTTGGGAGAACTTTCAGAATTGCCTCAAAATCTTAAACATAGAGTTACTATATGATCTAGCAAATTCATTCCTAGGAATATACCCAAGATAACTGAAAATACATGCACATACAAAACAATTTGTACATAAACATTCATAGCAGTAATATGTATAATGACCCCAAGGCAGAAACAAAACAAATGCCCCTGAACCGATGAATGGATAAAAAAAATGAGTTTTTCCTTAAAACGGAATATTACTATTCAGCCACGAGAAGGAGTGAGGTCCTGATTCATGGCACAACATGAATGAACCTTGAAAACGTTAACACTAAGTGAAAGAAGCCTCAAACAAGTCATATATTATTTGACTTCATTTACAGGAAAAATACAAGAAAGAGAGAGACAAAAAGTAGATTAATGGTTTCCAGGGGCTCAGGGAAAGCAGGAATGGTGAACGGTTATAGTGTCAGACTTTCTTCTTGGGATAATGGAAATATTCTGTAATTTGATGCTGGTCGTGGTTGAATAACCTTGTAAATATACTAAAAATGACTGCATATCACACTTTAAAAGGGGGTATATTCCAGTGGAATATAAATTATATCTCAATGAAAGTTGTTTAAATGAGACTATATTTTCTTCACTTTCTTTAACTGCTTTATCTTCTATGTCTTTCCTAGACCTTTGGCTCAACCTACATGGCAATATTGCAGGCTACAAACATGGGACTTGCCCTAATTACTCTAGCACCCTCTTCTCCATCCATCAATACCCAGGCCTGACAATTTGCCTTGCAGATTTTTTCTCACATTTCCACTCTTCTTCATCTCCACTGCCACTTCTGGGCTCAAGGGCCAGGACCTTTGCCCAAGGCCACTTCAATGGCTTATCTATCAGGCCTCTAGGCTCTCACTTTCTGTCTACCTCTTCCCTCTACCAAGGTCAAATCAACCTTTCTGAATGATCAGATTGATCATAGAACTCCTCCATTCAAAAATTCTTCTGCCATTCCCTATTGTTTCATATATATCTAAAGTCCTTTCCATGGCACACAAAGCCTTTTAGGGGTGGCCCTTCACACCTGTCCACCTGTATGCTCATTCTTTACTCACCTCCACTTTATTCCACCACATGCTACATTGCTGTAAATTGGAACTTCGTTTTCACCATCCCCATGCTTCACACCATTGCTTTTCTCTTTGCCTCTACCCATTTTTTCTTTTTTTAACAATGTCCTTGCTCCCTCAGCATGCTTGACAATCGCATGCTCACTCTTCAGGAATTCTTCTCCTCCCTCACGACTCTTCCAGGCAGACTTTGGCACTCAGTGTATTGACTTTTCATAGGAATCCATGGTTTATGGTACAAAACATGCCTATCAATCTCCCCAGCAGTTTTTTGGAAGATGGTGTATTTTTCTAGCCTGCAGCTCAGAAGTGTTTCTAATATCTTTATATAATTATCTTTCTATGCAATCTTATTCTTCCAACATGATCTTTTTTTTAATGCATCTTATTTTTAAAGATTTACTTATTTGAAAAGCAGAGTGCAGAGAGAAAGAGGAAGAACAAGACAGAGAGAGAGATTTTTCCATCTGCTGGTTCACTCTCCAAATGCCTTCAGCAGCCAGGATTAAACCAGGCCAACACCAGAAGGAACTTCATCCAGGTCTCCTCTGTGGGTGGAAGAAACCCAAGTACTTGCTGCCCACCAAAAGCATTCACAAGAAGCTAGATTGTAAGCATGAAGAAGCCAAGACTTGAACCAGGCACTCCAGCACACAGATTGTGAGTGTAGAGGTCTTGGGATGGAGAGAGAGGGCACACAGAAGCTGTGATCTAGGGCATTATGAAAGCGTCAGAAGAGAAAGAAAAACAAGCTGTGATTCACTGAGTGGAGGAGAGGTGGAGAATATGTCACAACAACAGAAAGCGACCCTGAAAAACAATGCAGAGAGGGAGAAGCAGAGATGTTTGCAGGATGCTGAAGCCTCAAAACCAGGAATAAAGGATGCCCATCTTCTGAGCACCAGCACTAAAGCATCTTTGAAAGTCCAGGGAGTGCGGTTCAATGTAGCCCCTCCTCTGTGTGCATTTTACACAGCTCACTTATTTTTTACCGAGATTTTTATTTCATGCTGCTAAATGACTAGGAGCCTGGACTCTAGAGCTAGACTGTTGGGACTGAATTTAACTCTAAAACATTTTGGTGGATGGCCTTGGGAAAGTTATTTTACTGTGATTCTGTATCTTTATATAATAGAAAAATAACTGAATCTATGTGGTAGGGTTGTTAGAATTAAATGTTAATAACAGGTAAAATGCTTATTAACTGGCACGTAGTATGTTTTCAATGAGTGTTCGCTACTATTATTTTCTAGTAAGTGACCCAAAAGTGCCCTCCACTCAAGAGATAAAATTATTCTTATTCTGTCATTTTTCTCAAATCCATAATTTACATGTTTTATACCTACAAATATCCAGTTTACAAGAGAATAAAAGAAAGGAGGGATGGAGGGATGAAGAGAAGCAGAGAAGAAGGGAAATAGTAGGAGGGAAGGAGGCAGTGGGGAAGGGAAGCATAGAACAGAAATTTGACTGCTGAAATGACAATTAGTTTAAAGCACACACTTGGACATAGTCTCCCGTTTTCTTGAATGAAAGTTCTATAATCCACTTCTTTTCTTTTTCCCAGAATCCTTTTATGTAATCCACTTCTTACTCTGCAGTACTCGTTATTTTTTTAGGTTAAAACTAACTATCTCAAACATACAACTCAATCTATTCAATATTTTTGTTTAGTTACAATCTTGTTTTTTAAAGGAATACATCATGCTGATAAGTATTCAAGAGTATATAAAACATGTATCTGTCCCAAAAGAGGTTCAAGACCAGGAGATTTCAGTAGATACACATGGAAATGTCAGAAACATCTCATGTGGACCCATGAGTTGTAAACGAGACCGAGGTTTTGACATTGTATTCCTTCTTCATTGGAATGGAAGTAAATGCACCACATTCTTAGGTCAGTGTGGGGGAGCTGATATTATACAACAACGTTTCCACCAAAAGTCTTGCTAATGGATCTACAGGTCACAATAAAGTTATTGAACAGTTGAAATAATAAGTGAAACCAAGCTGGGAACTAAAATTAGAATGAGACCCTCATAGCTTCTGTGGTAATTTGTGGAGATTTCATGAGTCTGCAAATTCACACAATTTTAGAGCCTTGCCAATCTTTACCTTGCCATACTATCTGATTTCCTATGGCTTCCCTTCAACTCTGGTTTCTGATTTCTAGTCCAGAAAACAGATTATATATTTATTTATGCAACTACCTTAGCATTCTTTACCAACTAATCACAAAAAAAAAAAAAAGAATATTCACTAAGCATTTAGGTAAAAACATACTTCCTCACTACTAAATGCAATACAAATTATTTATTGCATTATTAAGACAGAAAAATGCAGATGGCAATGTGTTAAAGTCCTCATTAACTTATTGCCACATGCTTGGCTAGGGAGAAAAAAACAAAAAGCTCCCCTTAAAAATCAATGACTAGGAAAAATACACTGAAATATCTGAAGCTTTATTACACATGAAACTCAAGGATCCAAAACATATGACCTTCAATGTGAAGAGAGTCCAGATTTTGTAAAAGTGTGGTTTTGTTTTCAAGTATTGTAGTTACCTTTCCAAAATTGAATTTTGCTTTTGGATAAGGGAGCCTTTATTTATAATATGCTGTATACAAAGTGTTAAACATCTATTAAAAAAAAAAAAAAAAACTAGAAAATCCTTATGGGGCCAGTGCTATGGCGTAGCTGGTACAGCCGCCGCCAGCAGTGCTAACATCCCATGTGGGCTCCGGTTTGGTCCCAGCTGCTCCATTTCCAATTCAGCTCCCTACTGGTGCGCCTAGTAAAGCAGTGTAGGATAGTCCAAGCGCTTGGGCCCCTGCACCCATGTGGGAGACCCAGAAGAAGCTCCTGGTTCCTGGCTTGGGATTGTCCCAGCTCTGGCCATTGGAGAGTGAATCAGATGGAAACCTCCCTTCTCTTTCTGCCTCTGCCTCTCTGTAACTCTGCCTTTCAAATAAATTTTTAAAAATCTTTAAAATAAAGGGGGAGGGAATATTCACATCATCTAGATATATCCCAAATCTCCACATCTTTGATATTATGTAGGCTCTATCTGAATTTCAATGAATTTCTTGTTGAGGACATATTCATAGCAAGATGACTGTCCAAAGACCATGCACTTGACATTAGCAAAATCTCATATATATGTGTTTGTGCAGTCCTAAAAGAAAATTGCACTTTCTACATAATCAAAGAACTCTGGCTCTGATGCTACAGTGCCTGTTCAAACAGTATAATCATTGCTCTCACATGTATTTATCTTTTTACATTTTTACCGAACAAAGACTATTTAATGACATACAAATCATAAACCACAAGTCTTTAGGTTTTCTCCAAATTGAAAATGGTGCAAGCTAATACATTTTACCTCACCCAGATTGCCAGGCTATGAAATGATAACCTGTCGTACAGTTCAAGCCCATAGATAGATTTTCTGTTAGATTCACATAGGTTCGGCTCTCACAAAGTTTGAAAAACACTGAATTAGTTGCAAAAATGTACAAAGCTGAAATTTCACTTTAAGAATCCAGTTTCAGAGATTCTTGTGGAAAAAAGAGATCTGCCAGTTTTAGGGCTACATCTCCAGGAGGCAACATTGGGGTGGAGCTGAGTAGCAACTGCATCTTAGCTGTTGGCAGTCCCTATTCTAATCCATCGTCTCCCTAAATTGAGACCAAGTGTTGCTACCATTTGTCATCCCACTGTTTTCCTCTTCTCTTTCAGTAGATTTAAGAGGAAAGTGACACCAAACAGATTTTTTCTTATCTTTAATACATTATACTCTTTATGGTATCTTCTGGGTCCAACAGACTTTGGCAT